GTATTATATTGTCTGATAGTTGAAAAATGGCTTTCCTGTCAACTTAGGCCGTTAGCTGGACTGCCGCCGATCGCTTAGTGGGAGTTCTCTTCCTTGGCTGGATTGCAAACCCGGAGAGAAAAGTCACGAATCAAATGACATACTTACCTATCATCATACGGTTGCGTGTACGGTTGCGTAGTCATCATACGGTTACGGTTACCTATCATCATACGGTTGCGTAGTCATCATAGGGTTAGGGTTAGGGGCTGGGTTAGGGTTTGGATTACAGATAGGGTTTGGGTTAGGGTTAGATGTGAAAATTTTGACGTAGGAGGTCCAAATACTGTCCGACAATCTGATGCTTGTGGGAGTGGCGCCACTGGAACTCTCCCAAATATGATGGCAATAGCACACGGCTGGTACCCAGTCGGTGGGGAATTGACCGTTTCAGTAGCATCCACAGTCCTTTGATTGTTTGTGTGTGTATGTGACTGTGCGCGACGTTGACGAAGTTGGTCTGGTGGACTACTACCTCGTGCAGATAGATGCCATGCCTTAAGTTTGCGACGTTGCTGTAGCCTCGCCAAGCGTCAGTCACGATGGTCGTTCCCGGCAGGACGCGATCTGTTATGATCCACTCCAATGTCGCCGCATCTCGTCTTCGCACAAGCTCCAAGTAGCAACGGCCAGTCTGACGCTCTACTAGCCCGACGACCCAACGACCGTGACGGATACGACCGGGCTGATACTTTCGTCGGAAGAAGTAGCTCTTGTCTACTTCAACCACGACAGATCTGCCGGTCTCATCGAGTCCTCCCAGCTCCACGGTGTGTCTCAGCATCCAATTATAGCATTCCTGTCAGAAATAATTGGTGTAGTTGACAATGGTGTGCCAGGACGTGAGTCTCTCGAAGACCATGACAGTCGTTGAACTTACGCCGCAGAGCCAGTAGTACATCATCATGACTATTTTCTCGGTCGGCATGTTGCAGTTGGCGAAAAACGACCCGGTGCGAACGCTACACCGAGTATGACAATGATGACAACGCCAACAGTATCTGTCGCTACAGTCCTGCCGAGGCGCTAGGGACATAGGTTGGTTGCACGAGGTACACAGTTGCATGTTCCTTATAAGACTATGCTCAGCTAGCCACCGCAACCACGCATACTTATCGGTCATTAAGGCATACAGATCTGCAGGAATCACATCCGTGGCAACTAAGTCGTGCATCACAAGAACGTTGTTGGTTATGTGAGTCGGAGCTCGATGTCTAACTGCCATTCTAACTGCCATGTTGATCGTGTTGTTTGATTCGTGACTTTTCCGCTCCGGGTTTGCAATCCAGCCAAGGGAGAGAACTCCCACTAAGCGATCGGCGGCAGTCCAGCTAACGGCCTAAGTTGACAGGAGAGCCTGAAAAATTAAAGCCCTTCTAGTTGAGATGTTCTTGTAAGTTTTTGTAAACTTAAAGATGATCTGTTTGGGCATTTCTTTCTTTCTTTTTTTTCTGTTTAATTTAATTATGTTTTCAAAGTGCACTTTATGTGCATATGATGTAACGTGTATAACATTTTTCGGCTCTCATCAAACTTCGTCCCCATATTATGGCGGGCAAACAAATACCCTAACAGGGCCTCAGTCGTGTGTAAAATGCAGACTTTCTCCGACAAACACATTGCAGCAAAACTAGGATCGCTGTCTGTTGACAATTTTGAGAAACGCAACAATACACACGATAATAGCGACATGGCAGGGAGACCACTCGCTCCGACGCAGGTTAGCGATAGTGTTATTCCGATTAAATTAACTGCCAAGCGTATTCCCCGCGCTGCGCATAGCGGTGCGGATAGGGGGCTAAACTAGATGGCTGGGACTCATGAGCAGCAGCTACCGCATCTCCTGTAACTTCCTCCAATTTATTTGCTTGTGAGTCCCAGCCTTCTAGTTTAGAACCACCCCCTCCCCCCCCCCCCTCTATTCGCACTGCGAACAGCAGTGCAGAGGATACTGTCGGCAGTGCGGCATAGTCGCAGAAACAGGTCCGTAATTAACATATCGCTGAGACCCTGTTTCTAGTATTTGTTTGCCCTCGATAATATTGGCTCGTTATTCGGGGGCAATCCTAGTTTTGCCATGATGTGTTCATCGGAGGAAGTCTGCATTTTACACATAACTGAGGCCCTGTTAGGGTATTTGTGTGGCCGCCAAAATATGGGGACGAAGTTCGGAGGAGAGCCCATTTTTTATTGCACTTTAAACAAATTGAAACCATTATGTGATTCTCGTACCAGTCTAAAAGTTAACGATACCTTTTTTTGTTTATGAGGTTGTTTGAGTATGCTAAGATACACATCTGCAAAGCTTTTGTAGAATTTTTTTAGGCTTAATCTGTAATCATGGAGTATTTAACCATTTATCCCATAGTAGTAGAAGTAATTTTCACATAAATAATATCCTATTCAACCCTAAAGTGTCCGTTGTATTTTCAGTGTTTATGCTTGCTATTTTCTATACTGTATGACTATTTCTTTCAGTCGCTTATGTAATTTGTATCATTTTTCTGAAATACTATCTTGTTCACACTCTGTTTTGTGATTAATATGGGTACTGTGCAGTGAGTATTTAGATAATATTTGTTACCTTATGCCCTGACACCCCAAGAAGCCGCAAAACTGACATTTCAGGTTGGGTTAAGTTTCTGTAAGTTTCTTTACTGACTTTTCTAGTGACATGTTTACGAAACACAAAGTTGACATTAGTTGTGATCACCTCTGTGCAGCATTTAGGTCAAGATATGAATACGTAGCATTTAGGAGATCTAGTGAACCCATATTAATATCAAATTGCTCTGTACCTTCTGTGATAAAGGTAATGGGGTCACGACATAAGTAACTTGTTCCATATATTTAAACCATTATGGATTGTGCTGCATTTAATGCTTAAAAAAAACTTTTTATTTATTTTTTGATTACTCCCTTTATACATCTTTATATTTTTAACTAATATATTTATACATTAACATGTTTTGGCTCTCCTTGCAGATCCGGATGAGGGTTGGACGCGGGCTGAACGACTTAGTTCAGTTTAGTGGGAGTTCTCTTCCATGGCCGCACTCGAAACAGTGAGCGGAAAAATCCACGAAACAAATGACATACTTACCTATCATCATACAGTTGCGTTTAGGGTTGCGTAGTCGTCATACAGTTGCCTGAAGGGTTGCGTTGTCATCATACTGTTGCGTGTAGGGCTGCGTAGGGTTTGGGGTAGGGTTAGGGGTAGGGTTAGGGGTAGGGTAAGGGTTAGATGTAAAAATTGTCACGTAGGAGGTCGAAATAGTGGCCGACAATCTGATGCTTGTGGGAGTGGCGCCACTGAAAGTCTGCCAAATGTGACGCCAATAGCGGGCGGCTGGTGCCCAATCGGTGGCGAATTATCCGTGTCAGTAGCATCCACCGTCCGTCGACTGTTTGAGTGTGTATGTGACTGTGCGCGATTATAGGGAACTACGGCGTCAAAATTGTCACATCTAACGCTAACCCTAACCCTAACCCTTACCCTAACCCTAACCCTACCCCTAACCCTAACCTTAACCCTAACCCTAACCCTTACGGCAACCCTAACGCTACCCCTAATCCTAACCCTAACCCCTAACCCTAACCCTAATCTTACCCCTACCCTTAACCACGCAAATTTATCGGTCATTAAAGCATACAGATCGGCAAAACAAAAAAAAACCCCAGATATCCCCGCAGTGTCAAAAAAAAACCCAGATCTGGGGGACACACCCAAGCATTGGCAGCCCTGATGTCGACCTCACTGTCTTGTTTGATTCGTGACTTTTTCCGCTACTTGTTTTGAGTGCGGCTAAGGGAGAGAACTCCCACTAAACTGAACTAAGTCGTCCAGCCCGCGTCCAACCCTCGTCCGGATCTGCAAGGAGAGCCCATGTTTTTATCAAATTAGTGATGTGTAAAAACACAATTCTTTTAAAGCTTTCTTTTTTTTCAGAAAATCCCACTGGTTCATATTCCATATTTTTTTTATGTTCTTGGCCTAACTAGGTTAAAATAGTTGATTTAATATTATTAAATGTATGTCCTTTGTATAGTTGTTAAACATATTGTGTTGATCATCCTGATTAATTTTTGGTATAGAAATCCCTATCACCAAAGATTATGTGTGCTTTACTCTTCTTTATGTGGATATTAGTTCTAGTTATTAATTAATTTCAAAACTAGTGGAATATACATTTGTCAGCACAGTACAGTGCTCATAGATTTTAACCCTCAGTGATGCAGAATTGAAAAATTATTATGTGTTTACCAGGAAGACACAGCCCAAAATAAGTATCAAAGAATGCTCATGGGAATGTTTGGACCACATCACTTGGTGATTGCTGACCTATCTGTAAAATTGATTTAATTCTTTTCATTCTGGCGATTACATACTTGCCTGTAAAATTGTAGGGCTTGCACTACCTGCACCATGGTGTGAAAACTGGTCCTTTTTAAAAATATATATTAACTCTTTGAGTCCCAGGGAACGCATTATACGTTCATAGGTTCTTACCTAGAAGCCCAATGAACGCATGATGTGTTGATTTTATTCTCTTTTTACTACCCATTGGGCCTGTGATGCTTAACCCCCTGGGACTCCAAGAGTTAAAGTCTTTCAGTTTTCGCCTCTCAGTCTGTGCTGGTAATACTAATGCTTATTTTGCATGTTAATAGTTCAAACATTTTTATAGTTATATTTAACTAAGTAATGTGTTTATGTATATATTTGTTGTTGTTCAAAAACTCATTGAACTAGTGGCAATTAACATCTCTGGGGAAATTGTAATTAATAAACATTTCAACATAAGAGGATGAGAGACAAGAACTGCAATTCCGTAGGTTTTCTTTAACATGTTTTTCCTTGTTGAAATAGTTTTCTTTTTCAAATTCCTCCAGTCTTTAGTTTGTAGTTATCTTACACTTTAACAGGTGGTATATAATTTTTTTTTTCGGTAGGCAAAATGTTATCTCGGTTCAAAGCATGTCTCGTTGGAGCAGTTGTTGGTGATTGTATAGGATCTAATTTTGAAGGCTTGCTCGCTGTGAAACTAAGTGATGTGGTGAACAGTGTTTTGAAACTGGAAGAATGTAAGTATTTTAAAGAATGATTTTGTAATTTTTTTTATTAAACCTATAACGTACATGCATAAACAAGTGAGATATTGTCAATAAACAGTCAAGAAAATCAAATGGCGCTGAATAGGTGGCTTTTAGGGAAATTGTAAAGAAGCCGTGTGTGGATAGAAGTTACAAAGTGGGGACTATTTTGAGACTGCTGAAAACCTAATAGAATATTTATTTTTTGTAGTTGCCTATCTTTTGCAGGATGTTGCAGAACCAACCCCAGCATTTTTTGGCTGTTGTGGTTTTTCTAAGCAAATTTACGTCCAGTAGTTTGCCATTGCTTTCTGGACGGTTGGCTTCTCGAAACCACTGTCGAAACCAAAGCAAGGCGCAAAGCCCGTATCTGGGATTGAACCCGGCATTACAAAGCGCGTTCGTCACGCCTTAGCCACAGACGCCGACAATAAAAAAAATTAAATATACACAATCAAGCGATTTTGAATTGAAGTAAGTAAGTAAAGTAACCTGGGGTAGGAGCCAATCCTACTACTAGGCACGTTCAATGAGTGGTGGTTGGTGGAGCGGCATGTAGATGTTAGCCGCAAATATGTTGAATAAGCGGCCATGGGCCATAACAGGTGGTGGTCATTGAGAGCAGGCGAGCTAGCTGGCAGGACAGCTAGATCTATACAATACCATTAAAATTCATAACATGGCCAGCACATTCGTTTTGCAACTTCTCGTCCTTTTCAGGATACAATTTTTCGTTCTTTGAAGCCCTACTCTGGCTCTTGCCAGGGGCCGCAATATAGCCTGGCCATAAATATGGCCTAAGGGCTGAACGCGGTTTCTGGGACCTCTCCACGGTGATCCTCACCCACATGGTGGCACATTGTGTCATCGGGTGTTTATCGCTTGTGTGACGTCCTGGTGGGGTGGAAAGTCAGTCAGTCAGTCATAACATGGCCATTGGTGGATGAGAGAAGCTATTATACCTCCCCCCTCCCCGCCCAGCGCCCTGCTGGTTTGCATGGTATGTCTCTTAGACAAAAGGTAATGGAGTCATACCATAAACAAACCGACGGAAGGCAAGGGGAAACCACCGCTGTATTTTCCCCAGTAAATCATGCCTACACATCATTCATATTCAGACGGCAACTTTAACTCTGGTTCTAATGGAATCACCTCATACGGTAGGGAACAGCATGTTTAACAGGTGATACCCGACCGTCATCCAGCTAATGTAGAGAAAGTAAATGTCAGTAATATCCTAGGCAGTGGTACATAGAATGTTAGAACACCTGTACAGACCGGAAAGTTGGACAGCATCAGAAAGGAAATGGAGAGAATGAATATCAAAATAAAAAAAAAAAATAGTGAAATGCGTTGGCCTAGTGCAGGGGGAAAGTATTCTGATAAACACATCATTTGCTCCGGTGGAAGGCAATATAAAAATGGTGTTGGTATAATTCTGGACCCACAGTATGCAAAAAACTCTTTAAGGATATTGGACTATTTCAGACATGGTGCTATTAGTAAAAAATCAATAGCAAACCACTTAATATAAACTTAGTACAGGTGATTGCACCAACTGCAGAAAGCTCAGAAGATGATATTGATGAATTTTATAATGATCTAGACATGGCTTTTGATCAGTGTAACCATTTTGAAGTAACAATAATGATAAGCGATTTCAATGCACAAGTTGGAAGTGAATGCAGAACATTTATTTCTTCTCTCTCCCTCCCACCCACTTTCTATCATCTCTCTCTCTCTCTGACTCTCTTTGTCACTGGTTCACCTGCTCACAACATCACTATTTTTCTCCTATTGCTCTGCCACCTTTTAAAACCAAACAAGTTTCCATATTCTTGCTGCATGTTTTGTGTATTGGACACTGAGCGATGTTCAACCCCATCGGACCGCACAGCGAGCTATAAACACCTGGTGACACAAGAATATCTGCCTGTGGCTCGAAAGACTTGGTTTGAGTCATGGTGTTGACTGTGTGAAATTTTACAAAATCAGACAGGATGGTAGACTTTCATGTGATTCTTGATTAATGAATTTGATATCTAGGCATTTGTAGAGTAAAAAGTAAAGGACTACTTCACACTGTTAGCGTTTGAGCATATGCTGCCAGATCCTTCCCACACTTTCATGGAAGAATTCATTAAGAAATCCAACAAAAATGCCATTCAAATTTTATGACAAATGGCACCAATTTTGAAATGCAAGCATGTGAATATGAACATTAAAAGAAGACTGCTCATCACAGTATTCTTACCTGCGCTATGCTATCAGTGTCACACGTGGACACTGTCTTCGGAAGACAGAAAGAAAATATTCACAACAGAGATGAAATGTTTGCGTACTATGCTAGATGTAACGAGGAAAGATCTACTCACGAACTATGATATCAGGAGGAGAGTCAACACTGAACATATACTGTACTTTTTAGATAGATAATAAACCACATTGTTTGGCCATGTAATAAGATTTGCATCAGACAGGGCACCACAGAGAGCAATGTTATACAGATACAGCGGTAACAGAACCAGAGGTCAGTCACGCAGATCGTAGACTGCAAAAACATCAGAGACACTGAAAAGTACTTTATACAAAGTGTACAGAAGGGTCCAGATATTTCTTCCTGCCCTGATGCCGTAAGATATTCCAGGAGTAGAGAAAAGAAGAAGATGATAACTAATCTGCAATTTAATGTTGATGACATTGGCCACCTTGAACCCTGTCAGCCTGAGAAGCTGCAAAGCCAAAACTTACAGATGAGTCCAGTGAATATAAATGTCATTTTCCTGACTGTTTTTTTTTTTGGGGGGGGGGGGGGGGGTTGTTTAAATTTTGTTACAGTGACATTTTTTCGAGAGGCGTAGTTATTGCTATTGGCTGAGGTAGGTAGGTGGGTAAGTTGTATCCCACAGGCGATAACATCCGGTGACACAAAGTCCCACCATGCAGAGGAGGATTACCCATGGAGTGGTCCTGAAAACCCCGTTCAGCGGTTAAACCATATTTAAGGCACCAGCAAAAGCCAGGGTGGGGCTTAAAAAAACTACAAAAACTGCATCCCACATGGGGACGACTGTGTATGATAGTACCTATTGGCTGATATATTAGTACCTATTGGATGACTGATATAATAATACCTATTGGATGACTGACATATTAGTACCTCTTGGTTGAGGTATATAGGTAGGTAGTTGAACCCCACCAAGACATCACACAAGCGATAAACACCCGGTGACACAAAGTGCCACCATGCAGATGAGGATCACCTGTGGAGAGGTCCCGAAAACCATTTTAGCTGTTAGGCCATATCTATGCTCCGGCTATATTCAGGGACCCTGGCAGAAGCCAGGGTGGGGCTTTAAATAACAAAAATCTGCATCCCACATCTGGACAACTCATGATAATAATATATTAGTTAAAAATAGTATTTAGGGGGGGGGGTCTTTTCCTGTGAACCAGATAGCTTTTTTTAGAGCAAAGTTGAGGTCAGATTTGTCTATAAGCCTCAGTGATAGATACATGCCAATACATGTCTTTTTTAGGCAGGGACTGTATTCCATTTAAGGGTTCACCCTGTTTGTATTTATTGGTTCTTCCCTTACATACATCAACACTTAGAAAGTTGCTTGCAATAGAGCAGAGTGGAGGAATCGAATTTGAGCCCTATGTGACAGCTTACAGCACACAAAGAATGATATTAATATCTTTATATATTTTAGGGGGAAAAGTAAGAAATATAGATAAGTTAAAAAAAATAGTAGAGCCAGGCTAATTTTTTTAAGCATGTCTGGTTTCATCAGGATTTGAACCCACCACCTTCCGATCCGCAGGTGTAAAGTTAGTTATATATCTTTTACACTATGGTGTAGACTGTTTAAATAGTGGACCCCAATAGTAGACTCAGTCTATCATTCGTTGGTGATTGTGGTTTAACTAGATAATGTTACTATCAGTAGTTTGTGATTGCTTTCTGAATGATTGTTGCTCATGTCACTGTCAGAATGAACGCAAAGAGGTTTTCTTTATCAGAACCAAAAATATTGTTTTGTAATCTTCAGTATTCTCTTTGAGTCAGCAAGCACAAGAAAAAGAAGAAGCTGGGCCCTCGCCGAAATATTTCTACACAGATGACACAGCCATGGCTCGCAGTGTAGCAGCTTCTTTGCTGGACAAGAAGCACTTTGATGCTAGAGATATGGCAGACAGGTATTTGTACTTTTATCATAATACAGTTAATAATACAGCCAGTAGGAGAATCACTTTTAAATTCACTGACACTCGCTGCAGTCCATAGTGAGTGAAAGTGCAGTTCCCTGGGTTTGCCCAGCCTCTAGGTAATGGGTACCAGAGTGAACACTCTGGAGTAAATGGAGGGACGTCCCTGTAGCTACGGAGTTGCATGCGGATGCTGACACAGGCAGACATTTTCTTATCACATGTCCAGACTGGTGGCAGAGCACTTATGGTTTATAACCATGTGCAGTGATGCTGGGTCACATCTCCGATTTTACTTTAATACAGTTAAGGGGAGGGTCTAAGATGAAAATTGTAAATTTTGACCATTTTGGGTTTCCATACACAATTCACAATTATCCATAGTAAAAAAAAGCTGTGCAAACGGGGTTTAAAAAAGAATGTATTTTAAAGATCTATTTCTGCATTTGCTGAAGCATATCTTATTTATTTACGTTTTACAGCTCCTTACGTATGCAGAAACTTTGAAAAATTGTATCTCGACTTGTAGTTGACTTAGAGACTTCATCCAAGTTGTAAATTGTTCCGTTTTATGAGACCAATACATCCAGTTTTCAGGGCTCACAGCACATAAGACAAATTTTCCATTGGTCCGTTCCTTGAGGAAATGCTTTACCCAGCCAATCGGAGCACTTGTCTCATACAAAACGCCTCTCGCACACTGACGCCATGCGACATTTTTGTTGTTATGCGCGGAAGACACTTTTACGGTGGAGACAACAAACTGTATAATTATGGGCACAAGAAAGGTAAACAGAGGTTATAGACCAAGAAAACGTTTATTTCATGACAATCAGTACTCTGACAAACACGAACAAAAAGCTGGAAGTGATGACATTAGTGGTTTGGATGATAAAAACCAACCATCTACATCTGCTTCTAAAATCAAACCAGGACCTCAAACCTCGCAGACTGAGTTTGATAAAGCGGAGGAGCTCAATGGTTTTCGATTTGTGGACGTTCAGCTACTGACAAATGACACCTTTTTGTTTTCAAAATGGTCTGTATTTTTGTTTGTCAATATTTTGCTGTCAGATACTGAAATTATAGCACTTGGGACATGGCCACAAGTGCTGTGTGCTCTGTCTTACTTAGACAGTGTTCAAGAGCGTAAATACTTTGTGTTCCACATGTATGGATATTTTGACAAGTCAGTTGTCATCATCAAGAAAGTTGTCTTTGTACACTGATGTTCCTGTGTGAGTTCCTGGACCGCCATTTGGAGAAAACAAGAATAGACCCACTGCCTCCCCAGCAAGCATGTCATAGAGCCGAATAATTGGAGGCATCCTTCAGTCGGAGCCATCTGCCTGAGAGGCAAGGAACCAGCAATCAGCATACAAATAAGCTAGATATATGAAACAGATTTGCACGCAACACTCAGGTTCTGGAACAAGACTAAAGTCCAGAGAAGGACAAACACCCTGAGCTTTCCGCTGGAGTTTACAGCCTAAGAATGCTAAGAAGAAGTTTACCGATGAAGGCTTAATGACCATGTTTATTGTTTTTTGTTTTTTATGATCCTGTTTTACTGGGAAGCTCATTGGTTCTAATTCTAGTCTGGCTACATTTTTACATGAATACTATCCTTGTCACAATCTTTTCTGCCAGCTCTGAAATATATTCCTGATTCAATCAGTCGCAGCTGATTTGAGTTACATTTGTGTTTCCTCATATAAATTTCACTTACAGACTAATATGTGACTCTTCTTCTTCAGCAGACCAAGCTCTTGAGGTTCATTGCTGCAGATGTCATCAGATTTCTCCATTTGCCTGTGTAGGTCTGCTTATATATTATCTGTCCACCGTCTTCTTAGTCTGCCTCCTGGTCTATGGCCATTCAGTTCCCTGGTAGTTTTTACCTCTCTGTCATTGGCCATTTTCTTTGCATGCCCCAGCCATTTCAGTCTTATAAGCTCTCATGATGCTAGTTATCAGTGGTTGTTTAAATAAAGAGATTAGATATTTTGTGGTTGCTTCTCTCTTATTTCCTGCTGTTTGCATCTTTGATGGATCCAAAGAGACTGTTTACCTAAAGTTACTTTAACAAATGATTATTCTTCATAATAATGTGACAGATTATGTTGTATCACTATAATTTTTTTTTCAATTTTTAGATTTGCCACTGAGTATTTCAATGATCCTGACCGGGGTTATGGTGGAAGTGTTGTAACTGTATTTGAAAACCTCAAAGACCCAGATCTGATAGATGTGTTTAGGCCAGCCAGCATGCAGTTTGGAGGAAGAGGCTCTTTTGGCAATGGTGGGGCCATGAGGATAGCACCGGCAGCCTTGTTTGCTTTCCATGATAATGACTTGGCAAAACTGAAGGTAATTCTCACTTTCTTGTTATTTAATTTTTGTTTCTTTAATTTTGTCCTCGGGACTGCAACTTGAAAGTTAGACAACCTTCATCCCTTCAAGCTGCAGTTTGGATGCCTTTACAAAAGGAACAAATTCCTGTTTAACTGTATTAGCTCTTTCAGTCCCAGGGGATTTAGCATCAGAGGCCCAAGGGGTAGTAAAGAGAAATGTAAAAATCAGGGCATCTTTGTTCTTTTGGTTCTAGGTAGAAACCTATGAACATAAGGTGTGTTCCTTAGGACAGAAAGAGTTAAACAGCTGCATTGAAACATCCTACAGCAGGGCTATCCAACTGGCAGCCCAGGGAGGCCTAGCAAATGGCCCACAGGGTATTGCCAGTTTTTTGTTGTTGTACTAATGATCTTTCTATGCTCGGGGCCTCTGGCCCCTGACAATCCCCATTTTTAAAACTGTGACCCCTGAGTGAACCTAGTTGAATTGCCCTGCCTCTACAGCTACAGAAAGTTACCTGCTGTTCTGTGTGGGAAAAGCTGTTACTATCACACTTTCAGATCATTGCTTATTGCAGGTTAATTGTTAGTTAGTTAGTCTTTCCTCTTGAGCCTAGGGCAGAGCATATGGCAGAGGCTGTAGCTCTCCATGTCTGGCAGTTTTTTGCCACCTCTTCTAGGTCTTGAATGTTCATTAGGCCCATGGTTGAGCCATTCCTGATGATGGTTCTACACAGGGTCTCTCTTCCCCATTTTCTTTTCTATTCCAGTGTTCATATGAGGGTTTGATGGGGGAGTCAGGTATTATTCATTCTGAGTGCAAGGATGATGTAGTTCCAGGGACGCTTTCTTAAAAAACTGGATACATTATCTTGCTTGGTCTCTTGTCTTATTTGCATATTGGATCTGAAATCTGTTCAGTGGAGATTGATTCTTCTTCTAAGAATCTGTTCTCTAACTTGACTATTTTTTTTTTAATTTTTATCTAGAGCTACTGTTACTTTCTAACTCTTGCGACCATAAGTTAGCACTGGAATCATACAAGAGTTAAAGATCTTAATTGTTAACTCTTATGTTAATTCTGAAGCTCCATTTTGGGTAGGGGAAACGGACCCACTGCTGCCTAACAGGCATATTGTACAAGGTGACTAAGGGCTTGCTCAAATCCATTAAGTTGGATTAAAGGGCTGTTGTTTTGTTTGCTGTTTTGTGGTTTACAGCTAGACTGGGATATTTGCACCTTTAAGTCCACAGTATATGACTGAAGACCTGTGTCTCCTCTGTGTGTTTACAAATGATTTTAAATGTTCTAGTAATCTTTGTAAGCTTTTTCAAAATATTCTTGTATTGTGATCATCATTAATTAGACTAGATTTCTAGGTTCTCTAGTAGTCTGTTTTCTGTTTGAGTGTTTGATTATACATACACTTTATCTATAACAAGAAAACAACGTACAATTGTTTTCTTCTACTTCTTTTTTTTTTTCATCTCTTCCTTTTCCTCCTCCCCTCCTCCTCCTTCCTTTTTCTTCTTCTTCTTCAGACTTTTAAGGTTCATTGCTGCAGATATTACCCACCTCTGTTCATCGGTTTGACTGGTTTTTCTTCCAGTTTGTGACTCCAAGTATTGGTGGGTCTGCGTATAAATTATCTCCCCACCATCTTCTTGTTCTGCCTTATGGGCTACTTCTAGTCAGCTCTTTTGTGTAAACTGTATCTCAAAGTCTGATAGATTTAAATTACTACAACCCCGTAACATGAAAACATAAGCTATTTATTACATGTATAAATATGTTTCTCATTCCACACTAGGTCCTTGTGTCATCCATCACAAGAATAACACATACTCATCATCTTGCCATCAATGGAGCTATACTGCAGGCATTTGCTGTGGATCAGAGCCTGCGGCAGCAACAACAACCTGTTGATGCTGATGAATTCATTGATTCCCTCATTTCCAAGATGAAACCAGTAGAAGAAGAATCGAGTGCAGGCAAAACTCCAGCAGACAACACAAGAGAGTCAGTAAAGAAGATGATTAACATCACAGTGTGCATTTTACGTTTTGTACCTGCTATTACGTGTGTGTCTAAACCCATGAGGTGTTTTCATAGACTGTATGCTTCATCAGCAGTTTGTATATGAGGGCTGTCCAGATAAGAACAAGCCGTAATTAATATGAAAGAGAACAGTGTGTGCAACATCAGTGTAACTAGTTTAGTGCACTATGGGGGTCATCACATTGGTAGCGGCTGAAGGAGTAAAGCAAAGAAATTACATTAGATTTTGCTTTAAGCTTTAAAACTCCTCAAGGAAACTATTCAGAAGATTCAGAAAGCTTTTGGAGACAATGCATCAAAAACATAAAGAACAAAAGTAACATGTTAACATGTGCACTTGTTCGTACAGTGAGTACCCTCATTATCTGGAGGCGACAGGCCGAACCCTGGTGTGGTCACTACGGCTTTAAATTTGCCTAATGCTCCAATACCTGTAAGAAAGTGCTTTCGTTTAACTTGCTGATTTTTTTTTTAGAACTCCGTACTCCGTCACCATATTTATGTATAAATAGATTGTATTAGTCATTATCGGTGCACACATGTGCACAAAGCAGACACATTCACACGAATGTGTGCACAAGCACACACACACCCCCTCCCATCTTACTTGCTGTCATCAGTACATATAGAATTATATCTTGCATCATTGGTACATATAGGATTGCACTTGTTATCATCTGTGTATGTAGGATTGTGGCAATTATCACTAGAACATATAAGATTGTATCTATTGTCATCTATACATATATAGTTATACCTGTCATTTTTAGTACATTTAGGATTGTAAGAGTCATCATTAGCACATATTTGTACCAGTTTTCATTAGTACATCAAAGATTATACTTGTCATCATTGGTACATTTAGGATTGTACCTGTTTTTAATTTTTCATATAGGATTGTACCATTTGTTGTTGTACATAAGTGATTATACATGCCATAATTAATACATTTGATTTTTACCTGTTATTATCTGTATGTGTAGGATTTGTACTAGTTATCATTAATACATGTACCTTTTATCATTACTTCATATACGATTGTACCCAATATCATCTATACCTATAGATTCTTCTTCTACCTAGATTTTACCTGTGTAAACACTGACAGAAAGTTAAGAGTTTTTCATCCATTTCTGGATTTTAGTCTTGTTCCGGAACTTGAATTTTGCATGCACATCTGTTTTACAGATTAGCTTATTTATATGGAGACTGTTGGTTCCTCGCATCGCAGGCAAATGCGCTACAACTTCAGAGGAATTCCCTAATCAACCGCTTTTTTTAACTTGCTTGATCAGGAGGCAGTTGGTCTATTCTTTTGCTCCTGAAAATGCAGTCTGGGAATCCAGCAGAAAAGGGGGGGGGGGGGGGGTTGGAATATAGATTGTGTAGGCATCTACAGGTTTTCAGTGATATATCATAATTGCATGTCAGTCACACTACCCAGAATTTGTGCTTGTTGTAACTAAAATCAATTGAATGTTATCATTATCTGTTTATAGTGACAATTTTATTTGTATAATTATTCAAGAAAAAAAATTGTGTTTATTTTTTTCCTATAAATTAAAGAAAGAAAGATGGTCATCCAACACCATACTGTTACAAGTTGTTGAAGATCAAAGAACTTCTCAAAAACAGGGACTTACACGTGGAGGATGTTGTGAATGAGCTAGGTAAGTTGGGGTGAGCTGACAGTTCATTTCATTAGGAATAGGTTAACAGGGATTATATGTTTTACGACCATAGAATTATTTGGGTAAAAAAATGATGAATACTATGACAACTGGAGGGTGAAAAAACTGATAAGAAACAACAATATATTATTTCTTTGTGTGTATTTTAATCTGTTTTTCTGAAGGGGGAGGGGGGTAGAGAATACGCCAGTTGCCCTAACAAACATGTTGTAAAAAGCCTACTTATTAGAGTTTTGCTGAAATCAGATACGTTGAGCTGTAAGATAACAAACACATATTGCAACTGAGCTGCAAACCACACCATGCCAAATGCCATTTTAAGTGTGAATGCAGAAAAAAAAAAAACAAGAGAAGTCACTACTTTTCTTGTTTATGTGATTGTTTATCCTGATTATGTCCCTTTGAAAATACGAGGGGTGTCCAGAAAGTAGTGCACCAAATAGTTTTTCTCAGCAACTGTTATTTAGGACACACGTTGAGAAAACCTGACAACAATACAACTAGAATGTCTTCGCAGTGGAAGCCACAGGGGCATAGAAATAAAAAAGACCAAACAAACACATGGAGAAGCGAGCTAGAGAGTGAAGTTAAAAAGATGGGGAGAGCTGCATGTGATAGAGAAGGATAGAATGACTTCGCGTGAGTTTGTTTGAGTACACATGCTTCATTATGGGTTAGAAAGGCAGACACATGGATATGTCATGTAAATGATGTGTGGTACATTACTTTCTGAAAACCCCCTATTTCTGCTGGAAAGTCAGTCATTTTTAATTTGGGTTTAATATTGGCGGATGGTAACGCTGCAGTTGTCGTATAATATGGAGTAATATCTCTGTATCTCATTACCTATCCTAAGTGAAATATCTCTTTAATTACTGACATTTGAAGGCTACATTGACTTCACAGCTGTAGGGAGTCAGAAGGAAAAACACACCTGATTACATTTGGACTGAATCTGGCTAAATATTATGTGCCAGTTTACTGCTGTGAATCTGTATCTCTTGTTTGTGTAGTTTACATGTGCAAATTGTTTGTGTTATTTCAGGAAATGATGTCTCAGCATTTGGCTCTGTCCCAGCTGCAGTCTTCTCATTTTTAAAAGCAGCTACACAGAATATTCCAGAATTAAATGTAAGTTTCTATGACTGAGCACACACATTGTATGTTGTATATGATATAGAGGCCTGTTTGTAATCCAGAAGCTTCTTTGGGTTAATGAATGAGATTTGTAATTTTACTGATAAGAAGATTCTTTCAGAAAGACTGCATAACATTATAGTGTTCTCCCTGTGTTAGATTTTCAGGCAGGTGCAGTGCTGGATCCTTTGATTCAATAAGGTGCAACCATAAGAGAGAGAGAGAGAGAGAGTAAAAAAAAAAAGGGGGGGGGGGGGGGGGGAGGAAGTGAGGAGAAAGATGTTCAATGTAAATTGAATGTTTATTTTTTTCATAAACCTTTAATGTTTTATTCTCTTATTTATCATTTGTGTATTCTTCCCTAGCATTCACAGCTGTAAACTCTGGCATAAAGCTCTAGTTGTTTGTCCACTTCTGGACTTGAGTTTGGTTCTGGAACTTGAGTGTCGTGTGCACATCGATTGTGCAAATCTGGCTTAGTTGTATGCAGACTGTTGGTTTCTTACCTCTCAGGCAGATATTTTGAAATTCAAAGGAAACATCCCTAATTTGTCACCCTCCATGACGGTCTTGTTGGTTGGGGAAGGAAGCTGTGGGTCTGTTCTATTCTAAAAAAATAAACTCAGGTCAAGGTAAAAGACAAAAGTCCATTTTGGACGAACAACCGCGACTTACCGCCGGAATTCACAGCCGGCGAACAAGAAGAAGAAGAAAAGAAGAAACTATACTTCTGAGGTTTGAATATACATATTTATATAGGGGATGCATTAGCCCAGTCGATAGGAGACTCGCTTTCCAATCCATCTGCGACTCTCTGCAGCCCACGGGGGGTGTTCAAAATCAAACGGTTCCTCAGCTTCACCCAGCCTCTAGGAAATGGGTACCAGAGTTAACACTCTGGGGTAAATGGAGGAACGTGGCTGTAGCTACACAGTTGTGTGCGGATAGCGATACAGTTCACAGCAACCAGCACACTGCCTAGTGTCTGAAGGTACAGTTTAGGCTCCCCACACACAACTTGCAGGAAAACTCAACAACTCCGGGCTTGCTATACAGATGAACTGGATATCTCTCCTAATCAACTGGACCTCTGCTGCTCTACGCTGAGCAGACACATCGGCTGACTGGAAAACGTCACAATACTCGATTTCCAGCATGTGCACACAGCACATCATCCTAGTCAAAGGAACTTCGATGACCGGCAGGACTCCTGACTCTGAGTCCCCTTCAGCACACAGCTATTGCTGGCATCTCTGCTGTCTTGTTTCACTTCACTGGTGATCCTACTGCTTACATGCGACATCACCCAAAACAACGTTTATTGAGTAGTCCAGCCCTCTTGGCCTGACTTGCCAACTGGACTTCTCTTCCTTCGGCTGCACTCTCAACCAGTTTCCTGTGAGTGCTTTACCTTGAACGTTCTCGACTCAACGGTTTGAGTTCTCAGCTGCCACTACTCAACAGTCCACTCAGCCCCAGTAAATACCCTTGCCTGCCCCTTGTGAGCTGCCCATGCACACGAGACGCACAGTGTCACACACCCCATACTTCTTCCATGCGACAGCGGCTATCTTCGCACAAATCATGATAGTTAGCCCACACTGGCTAATACTTCGTGAGTCCACTGGTCCACCCCGGGCTGAGTCAGTTCCAACTTGCCACAATATTGACTCAACCGACAGAAATTTCCTGGCTTAAGTCAACACTGTGCCAAATATTGACTCAGGTCACCTGACATTCCTGTGGACACCCGAAAACACTATTCATACCACATTGTCCTCCTACAATACTACAACTCACACAAATCAGCCGGCAACACATACTGTGCAGTGAATCATGTGGATATGCTGTCCTGGCGATGCAGGAGTGCAAGGGAATGAAAGAGCAGATTTTCTGGCTACAAAAGCTAAAGCTACAGAAACACTCGTACTGGACAAGGGAGATATTCTGAAGATCATATCTGAAAGACTGCTGACAGAAGACATGAGATTAGATGAAATAACACCTGCAAGAATGTGTGAACAAGGAAATAAATGTGGATCTGGCAAGGAGGGAGGGATAGATGAGAGGAAGAGAACGATAAGTGTATAATCAGTGTGCTACAGGAACAGTTAGCATCTACACCTTAAGACATTTGCTGCGGGAGACGGAGCATCTATGGGTATGCCCAGTGTGCTGTGATGTAGATTCTTAAATCAGTAAGACAATGGCATGGTTATTGTGATTTCTATCACACCTTTAAGGTTTTTTTTTAATGTTATTTCAGTTTTAACATATGCCGTGAAAGTTAAAGAACATCTAAAGACACAAAATGAAAGTTAAATGCATTTAAACACACATGCCTGAGGTAAATTATGACCAGAAAATGCAGTGAATTCATAAGGGGTGAAGAAAAAAGATAAATTTGTGGATAACCACTAGTATGAACAGTTGTATTGCAGAGAATATGGCTTTATATTGGACAAGAAAAAACAAGCAGAGAATCACCAAATAGTCACTGAATTGGGAAATAGAAGGGATTGAGGAAATTATGACATCAAAAGAAACCCTCAAATGAACGTTGATAAAAGAAGCCAAAGATACTGGACTGGATTCTGTCACTGATATTGAACTGATTCCACAGAATGCAACAGAATTGGAGGAACGAACAAACTTTATTTTTAAAGGGTCATAATTTGGGCATGCAGTGTGCCCTTCCAAACACCCATCTTTCACACTGCAGTTGCATTTTAAGATAAACAAGTTATATTCAGGGAGTCCCCATGGCAGAAGGGCTAGACGCTCGCCGCGGATCGGAAGGTCGTGGGTTCGCTCCCTAGACGAGCCAGACTTTTTTCAAAAATGACCTTGGCTCTCAGGTCGACCCAGCCTTGAGTGGGTACCGGGTGCAGTCCCGGGAAGTAAAGGTGGCCGGCGTGATATTGACCACATAACCCATCTTGTGCGAATTGGTCTATAAAAGTAAAAGTCTAGCCCTATATGCCCTATACGCCTAAAGGTGCGGAAAAGGATCCTTTACTTTTTACTACTTTTATGTTATATTCATATGATAATATGCAGGAATAAACTGTGAGCCCTATCTGACATATAATGGCACAACATGAGAATGAGTGAATAAGTTAATATTTCTGTGTGTGTTCTGCACTACTTTATAGGACAGAAATCTTGACTAAAAAGCTGATTAAACCCTTGAAAGGAGAATACACAAAATTAACAGTTGTATATCATGGGGAAAAAAAAATGTTTAGCTGTAGTGAGGAATAAAATATTTTAGTGTAGATCAGTAGGAAATCATAATGAACAATGAGAATGGGGTTGACCGATAAAAATAGGGAAAGAGCTTGAAGAAAGAGATGGGAATCATGTCGTTATACTGTCGTTAGACCCATTTCAGCCAGCCTTTATCTTCTAGATAGCATCTGATGATTAGTGCGAAAGAATTCAGTTACCTTCATCATGTGTAGAAATATTTACTAAGCCATCTGTGTTACTTTGAGAAAACCTTGAAAAAACCCTTGAAAAGGGTTAGTGAGTTTGAGCTCAAACCTTGTATTTTGTGCATTAATTTTCTTTACTTGTCAGAGCAGAAATAAATTTGAATGGATATTATTGTAAGATATTACTGTTCTCTGTTTTGTGATTGTATTTTCCTTATGCTTTATTTTCCAGGGCAGAAATAAGTTTGAACAGACAGTCTTATATGCCATTGGTCTTGGAGGTGACACTGATACTATAGCTACAATGGCAGCAGCCATTGCTGGGGCTCTGTATGGGATGGAGCAGATTCCTAAAGCCTGGCAAATCTACTGTGAGGGGGTGGAGGATGCTGAAAGGGCAGCAGAAGAACTGTTTAAACTTGGGAGTTTATGAGTTAGTTTTTGTTTACAAAGGAAAATTTTACCACTGTACATTTTAATATATAATAAACTTTTTTTTTACAGTATGACTTGCCCTACATATAACTGAACATGTGTCCTGAAAATTAATTTAATCAGTTTTTGACAAACATATATTGAATCTTTTTTCTTCTTCTTTGTGTTCACCAGCTGTACACTCTGGCGGAAAGTTCTGGTTGTTCATCCACTTCTGGACTGCAGTCCTGTTCCAGAACCTGAGTGTTGCGTGTGCATCCGTTTTACAGATCTGGCTCATTTGTATGCAGACTGCTGGTTCCTTGCCTCTCAGGCAGATGCACTCTCTTTGAAGGAAGCTCACAATTAGTCGACTCTTAGGACATGCTTTTGGGTAGGCAGTGGGTCTGTTCTTGTTTTCCCTATAGCAGGGCCCCGAAACCCACATGGGAAATATATTGAATCAAAATAATAACAACTGACTGCTTCCTGTGTACACTGATGAACAGTAAATGAGGTGAATTGAATAAAGACGAAGAAGTAAAAGAAATGTCTGGAAAAAAGCATCACAACTGTGTTCGTTTATTTGGCACATCTTGAGAGAAAATAGGCAAAGAATCGCTAGATAGGCACTGAAGTGGGAAATAAATTGATTAAGGAAATGATGATGCCTAAGAGGAAATGAATGTTGCTGGGAGAGACCAAAGGTTCTGGATTGGATTCCATCCATGATATCAGACAGATGGCACAGTATAAAATGGAATGGTGGACTAGATTGTGAACCCTGTGAGATGTACAGATGGTACGACATGATCGTGTTGAGCATGATAATGTTTGACTGCTTCACATGCATGAAATAAAGATTGTACAGTCAGTCCCCTCAGTGTGCCTGTCAAACAGAACCGCAAACACCTGAGCACATTCTGCAGACCTGTCCACTCTACCTGCAACTTCAAAAAGACCCCTGCCTCAAGAGCAAAGTGTGCAGAGCAAGCTGTGGGGAACCATGAAGGACCTGCTAGTGACATGCGAGTTCACAAAGGCAACACACCTAATAGTCTGATCTGAGCATACGAAACTGAATGCAAAGAAGAAGAAGAACCCTGTGAGATGTACAAATGGTACAACAGGATCGTGTTAAGCATGATAATTTTTGACTGTTTCACATTTCAGATCGACTTTTGCAGATCAGATCTTCTAAAGGGAGAAAAACACATAGTTACCATATTATTTTTGGAAGGGCAAATAAACATGAGTACATCTGACTACAGAGTTTGTATGCTTTGCTGAGATTTTCATCGTCTTATGTGTGTTAGTAAGTTGGATCACTTGCAGAGGAGTATTAATTGATAATGAAAGGGATCACTCCTTTGTTCATTGGATATTATTGTTTTGAATGTAATTGTATATTGTCCATGTTTTACAACAAAGCTGTGATATTTACTACTTTTAGTTGACACATCCAACTTGTTTAGGCATTTCTTGGCCAGGTTAGCCTTACTTGGTAAATTGGGCATGTAGAAACAGACCAAACCAACCAAATATGTTTGGATTTATGAATAAAGCTCTGCTAGCAGTGGATTTGTTATTTCATGTTTAACTCTTTCAGTCCTAGGGGGTTTAGCATCAGAGGCCCAAGGAGTGGTAAAGAGAGAGGTAACATCTGTGCATCTTGTGTTTATTGGGCTTCAAGGTAGGAACTTATAAACATATAATATGTTTATTGGGACTGAAAGAGTTAAGGGACAGTAAAATATAAGTAAGCCCTTAGTTTATTATATCCACAAGGACGGTTGTATATAGTATTGTGCGATTTCTGAATTGTGACTTTAAAAACAATCCTGTTGTGAATTTCAGTAATTAGAACACAAACAATATATTAAATATTTTGTTGCCTTGCATATTTTTATGTTTCTAGGCTTTGTGATTTGTGTGTTTCATTTAAAAAGATTCATTTTGTGTGCTTCAAATGAAAACTGTAAAAATTTGATTTAAAATACATAATAACAGTGCCGTTGTCTTGTAACCTGTCAATATTGTTGAAGGATGTCAAGAGTGTTAATCATGACATCATGGTGCAGATCAACGTGGTGATGTCATAATGACACTTTGAAGATGGCTGCCCAACTTTTGACATTTTGGTTTGAAGTTGAAAGTATCAAAAGACAACACTGAGAAAATATTGTCAGTCGGAATCTGGCACAGAAATGAAAATAAACATTTTACGTTTAGATAAATGGACTCTTGACGTTATCATTCTAAGCCCATTTTGCCTTTGAAATCTGCATCTTCTTCTGCATTCACCCTTATAAGGGCAGTTTGCACATTGTGTTGTGGTTTACAACTAGGCTGTGATATACACGGCTTTCAACCTAATGCATCAGATTCCGGCAAGCTTATAAATAGTCACCTTTTACAACATGCTTCTTTGTCTATGGAGACAGTGGGCCTGTTACGCAAAGAATGTAAGTTTCGTATCCTTTACAGGACGTTGCAGAACCAACCCCAACAGCCCCTGGCTGTTGTGTGGTTTTTCTAGGCAAATTTACGTCCAGTAGTTTGCCATTGTTTTCTGGACGGTCGGCTTTCTTGATACTACTGTCGAAACCAACGCAAGGCGCATGTCCCGCAGCTAGGATCGAACCCAGCATTCCAGCATTACAAAGCGTTTGCGTCGACTTAGCCACAGAGCACACAAAGAAGAAGAACCAGAAATAAATAGAAGACCACTAGGCTGGCAAATAAGTGTGCTAGCCACATCACTACTGAACACTGCAGCTTCTTGTATATGTCTCTTTCTGTCATGGATAAACGAAAGTTCAAGGCACCCACTGAGTTGAGTTGAGTCAAGAATTGACATCACAGCACTCGGGGTATTCCTATGTGTACTCCGTCCTCATGCAGCCAGTGCAGAGTTCCAATACTGATGGTACCAGTCACAATCTGGTTATATGTACGTCTTGCCTTTCCTCTGAGTGTAGTGAGCCGGAAAGACCCACTGGTTACATCCAGGTGCCTCAATCTCTCCAGGGCATAACAATCTTGTCTCTCTACTGATTCCATTGCTTGTTCTCAAAGGGTTTTGACCACATCAATTTACCACCAATCCAAGAGATCCAACCAATCTGTCTGCCTGTTCATTACCCACCACGCCAGCATGGCTTAGAGAAAAGATCAGGTAGTATGCTCACTACCTGTGACCTTCCCAGTGAAACCTGCTACTGTGCTAGTAAAGGCACCTACTGGTGACAATATAAGATAGAAATGATGGCACTATATTTGATGCATCCTGAGAAGAAACGAGCAGAGGAACACAAAACAGGCACTAAAATAGGAAAAATTGAGGGATTGAGCAAGGGAATATGTCCAAAAGGAACCCTGAAATGAATGTTAATGACAGAGGTCAGAGATATGAACTGGATTCCATCCACAAGATGAACACTCAGTTAGCGTGAACAAAATTTTGGTGCCAGCTGGGTGTATTATTCTAAAGCCATGTGAATGTGGAAAGCAAGGGTCACTGCCACATTATTTTACCAAGAAACTTATCATGGCAGCCGCAAACAAAGTTGTCATCAGTGGCAGAGAACTTACAGAAACAAATTAATTATACTAGGAATTTCTCAACACAGGTGGGAGGGGTCAAGGACACTTCATGACTCAGAACAAAATAGGTATACTAGGAATTTCTCAACACAGTTGGGAGGGGGTCAAGGACACTTCATGACTCAGAACAAAAAAGGTATACTAGGAATTTCTCAACACAGTTGGGAGGGGGTCAAGGACACTTTATGACTCAGAACAAAATAGGTATACTAGGAATTTCTGAATACAGTAAGGCGTGTCAAGGGCACTTCATTACCCAAACAGATGATATATTTGTTTACTAATAATAAAATATTCTAAAAGTTCTCCCCATGTGGGATGCAATGTTTGTTACTTGAAGCCCCACCCTGGCTTCTGCCAAGGTCCCTGAATATAGCCCGAGTGTATATATGGCCTAGCGGCTGAAAGGGGTTTCTATGACCTCTCCATGGGTGATCCTCATTCGCATGGTAGCACTTTGTGTCACCGGGTGTTTGTCGCTTGTGTGATGTTTGGGGGGGGGGGGGAGACAACTACCTACCTACCATTTGTTTACTGAGGACAGACAAAGATCCGTCTGAGCGGGGTTGGTTTTCTTATAACAAGAATAAGAAATTTTTCTTCTTCTTCTTCTTGTGTTCGCTTTCTGATTTACACCGACAGACAGGTTCTTGTGATAAACTTGACTGTTTTTATGAATTCATTTTTAGTCCCATACAACTTTGTGTACAGTGATGACTCACTGGGCCAGTATTCCTTTCTTAATGGGCTGAACAAGGGACAGTCTTGCAGGACATGTTCTGTAGTCTGCACACATAGCCCACAAGGGCAAAAAGGTGAACTACTTAGACGAAGCCTGTGCATATGCTGGTTAAGTTTGTTATGTCCTGTCCTGAGACGTAGGACAATGACCTGCCCATGCCGGGTCAAGTAAGTGGTAGTCATCTTTGGCCAGACTCTGTTCACTTCTAATAGCCTGGATGGCCCTTTTCTTCTCATAGTATGTTACTGCATTCTCTTCCTGGTCACATTCTGCCCCTTTTTTAGCAAGTTTATCTGCGGTTTCGTTTCCTGGTATACCACAGTGGGATGGCACCCACTGGAGTACAGTACACTTTTGGGCAGCCACCTTGCCAAGTTCAGATCTCAAGTGAGGGGAGTTTGCCACTCTTGAGGGCTTGAAGCACTGAAAGCGCATCTGTGAATATAACCACTTGGTGGCAGTCAGAACTGGTGTTGTGTAACATTTCGGCAGCCTGCTCTAGTGCTACAATCTCTGCTGTGTAGTTAGAACAGAATTTACCAGTGGGTATCCACTTTGTGTGGCGGTGGTTGCCTGGGTATGTAATAAAGACTCCAGCACCCCCATTTTTAACCGCACTGGTTGCTGATCCATCTGTGTAAACATGTATCCAGGACTGTTCGGGATAAGAA